CTAACTACGCATCCGTATAGACGACAAATGTTTTATCACTGCTTGGAATAATCATTACCGACGCTGTTTTAATTCATTCCATGTTGTGGACGACATGACCCCCGGGCTTCCAACACATCAATGAAGAGATTATTGTGGCATGTCTGCAAGATGAATTCCTCTGTGAAAGGATTCGTACAATTTATTGTCTTATTGCGGAAATGTTTAACCAAGCTATCAATTGACTCCTCGTCCTTTTACTTCTTGTTCAAAAGGGCTCCAATCAACATTTAAGTGTCATCATCGAAGAAGTTGTTAAGGAACGAGCTTTCCATGTTGTTCCATCTGTTGATATTTCCTAGCTTGAGATAGTAGTACCAATCAAAGGTGGCCCCATGAAGGGTGCCAACGAATAACCGGACCATCAAAAGTTTGTTACTGGAGATCACACCCAGGTGGTACTTGAAGTAAATTAGGTGTTGAGTGGGTGAGCCCTTTTCGTCGAATGGTGTGAAGTTAATTAGATTGAACTTCGTCGGATACTAGATTAACTCCCACTCCCGTGGGTAGAGGCATGAAATACCAGTCTTCTTTACCTCATGAGCCGACATCAGTACATTGATCTTGCTCTTCAGGTCTTTTATTTTCTCGTCCTCGCTTGCATTTTTCTTCGGGTGATTTTGGGGAGGAACAATTGGACCACCCTTAGCATTGTCATCCTCGGTAGGACCACCCCCAGCATTTCGGTCAATAGGAGGGGATCAGCATTGAGATTCTCTTCCACTTCTGAATCACTATCTACTTGATTAGTAGCATTATGATGGCTAGATTCACCAATCTGATTTGATAAGGCTTGAATCTGATGATCATGCAATTATCTTATCCATTGCACAGTCATTTCCATTTCGAATTTGAAATTCTCTTTTTTCTTGGCCAGAGCATCTTCGAGGATTTTGTCCATTTGTTCAGTGTTGATCATAAACGCCTCACGAGATTGTCCTGTGCTAGACACTGTTTTGTCAGAAGTGATTGCCGAGTTGGTGTCTGACGTTTCATCATCCGAGGAGTGTCCTCTATCTGGTGTAGGTCGTTTAGTTCCTGACCGTAACAAATCGATACGCTGAGATGCCTCTGAGAAAGAGTTAGGGCTGTAACGCCTTGCCGGTTTTCCTTTATCGACCACATTGATGGTAAATTTTGGAAGCTCGTCAACATGAATAGCATATTTCTTCTTGTAGAATCATATTGATTTAGATTTGGACACTTGGGTAGAGATTCTTTCGAATACCGAAACCCTCAGTGGAGTGGTCTTGGGGCAGCTACACTCTGATAATACTGCCCTGGTTAACCTCTCACAAGGACAATGAGAATCTAATTCTACGGTACTCCTCTTTCAAAAAATTTATTCGTACCCACAGCCCGATAGTACAACTCATCGACGTTGTAGTTAGAGAAACCTATCAGTTGTTGGTTTGAGTCTGCAGGTATAACGTTGTCGTTCGACAGACATGTTTTCTTCTGAATGGTAATGCCTTATTGGCGCTCGTAGGAGTTACGCGTTTGGGACCACTCCCTCGTGAGGGTGTATCCATAACGTGCTTCTGGTCTTCTGTATGCACCCCCAAGTGGGAGGTTACAAGAATAGTCTTGTTTGGAGGCGTGTATGATCCCCAGTCTAGTGAGTTGTTCGAGGTTCGTTCACTGGGCCCAAGCGTTCTCTGAATGAAATTTTGCATCGATCCCCATGCAAAAGTCCAAGGTGATCCGTGATCTTCATCTTGAATCGGGAAAGATCGACGCTGTCGTGGGACTTCACCAAAGGTACTGGATCAACTTGAGCAAGAACAGAAGCGGACGGGGACCCAGAAATGGCCGCGGGAGGCCAATTAGGTGCGGAACACCTTGAGGTGACTCGGGCTTAGCGTGAGTCACCCTAAAATGGCTCGGGACTTCTGATCTTTTCGGCCACTGTCGGAGTTGTTTTTGATGCTGTTTTGGACTTTGGCCTACTGACAGGGTGTGGTCTTGGTGGTTTTTTAGTCACCTCTTCCTTCTTCATGCCTTGTGCCTTTTGCAAAAGGGTTCGGGCATGTGCGACACGTGCATGGTGCCTTTGGATACGCTCCTTCCAGGTTGAACGAATCCTTTTGACAAGGATCCATTCTTCCGTCGATGGCTTGGAGGATTTTTTAGCCACACGCTGTTGAAGTAATTCGGTTGCTTGACGCCTCCTGGATTCCAAGTTTGTGTTATATCGAACCCCGCCGACTTGCTCCAATGCCTTGGCAATTTAACAAGCTTGGCATTGGTGTCGCCTTTGACGAGCTCTCTTCATCAATGCATCATTAATGAGTATGCCACCTTCAAACACAATATTTTTCCACATTTATAAGGAAAGGAGGATTTTGATGAAGATGAGTAGAAATATTCCTTGAACTTGGCTTCGTCGAACTTGTACTCGACCGCAGAATCAACCGAGATCTTGATCTTCGGTTACGACATGACAGTCTAGACAGCAAGACTGTTGGCTCCCACTGTTGTCGCTAGCGTGTTTCTGTTAAAAGTTTATTTATTCATAGAACTCATTACAACTTCAATTGTTTACAACAAGTTCATAAGAGTTAGTATTTTCATAAGACTACTCGCTTACACAAATAAAAGAAAAATTACAACTCTCTTCAAACACACGCAGAGGACGTTTATCACCCGCTGCCTATGTGGGATCTTTGCCTGTGCTGGGGACGCATTAGTCTGTAGATCGTTACGGATCAGATCTGGTTGATAGAATGAAAATTCAATGCTCCTGCTTCACAAAGGAAATAATCACAAAAGTGAAAATCTCAACCAAGTGAGATTACAACTCTTCTCGAGATTAAAACCAAGTTTGATCCAGAAAAAAGGGGAATGTGTCTTAGATCTCTCAAACTCTCCCTCTTTATGCTGAAGAACTTTGCCAAGATCTACTAGCCTCTCTAAAATTCGTGATTCACTCTTTACAGTTATAGCACCTCGCCTAAATTTCAGATCCCCTACGTATAGGACCCTATGCTTATATTTATAGGCTTCAGATGCAGCATTTTAAGATAGGAATAGATGATTTGACCTTAACCTTAGTTAACAACTTCTTAACCACATTTAGATATGATACCAAAGAAGTTGGGAGACTCTGAAACAAACAAATCCTGAGACAAACCGTCAAAAAACGCGTTTTGGGCAATCTGTGCACGAGCCATCCTACAGTGGCTCAGAACTGTGTGAGCCGCCCTATGGTGGCTCGGCCTTGGCTGAGCTACCTGACCTTGGTGAGTCATTTTGATGTGACTCGGTCGCCAGGGGCTTTTTTGTTTTGGTCTTGTTCTGTCGTTTTGCGTATTTCATCATTTTGTTGACTCGTACGCTTTATTGACTTGCTTCGTACACTCATTAGCTCTTTTACAGCACCGGATAATCTCGTTTGACTCAGGTGATGGTGTTCATCACCTTCTCTTCATTTTGAGCTGTGTGCGGGAACCTATAGGTGATTTTTGATGCCTACACTTCCCCCATCTGCTGAATCGCTGAACGTCCTTCATCAGCGATACTTTCAACATGACAAGGTCTTTAACCTGAAACTCTAAAGGTCATCGTCTCTGATCCGTATAGATTTTTTTTCGACTATGAGAGGCAAAAATACTCTCTCTAATCAGTGCCATCTTCTCTACGGTTTGTCTCACAATCTCCGACCTAAGCAATAGGCTATCCTCTAGCTTTGCCCAACATATATGTGTTCTGTAAGGCCTCCCGTACAATATTTCATACGACTCCATCCCGATAGTAGCTTCATTATTATTATATGCATATTTAATCAATGGGATATGGTCCTCTCAGCTACCCTGAAAATCTATCACACATGCTCGCACCATATCCTCTAATACATGATTCACCCTTTCTGTCTGATCATCTATCTAGGGGTGGAAGACACTACTGAATGACAACTGGCTATCGAATGCATTTTAGAAACTCCTCCAGAAATGGGATGTGAAGACTGAGCCTCTGATTCAATCGTCTCCAGGATTCCATGCAATCAAACTATCTCTCGGATAAAAATCCTCGCATATGTCTTTGTTGTTAAAGTCGTCTTCACTGGTAAGAAGTGCGCTGACTTCAATAACCGGTCTATTATCATCCAAATAGAATCATTTTCTTTCTTTCATTTAGGCAACCTTACGACAAATCCATAAAAATATCAACCCACTTCCACTCGAGAATAGGTAAAGGCTGTAGGGTTCCTGTAGGTCTCTGATGTTCTGCCTTAACTTGTTGGCAGGTAAAACACTTGGCCACATACTCTGCAATCTCTCTACGTATGCCACTCCACCAAAAATGCCTCTTCAGATCCTTATACATTTTCATCATGCCTGGATGCACTGTATACCTGGTACGATGCGCCTTATCAAAAAGTTTCCTCTTTAGCTGTGGATTATTTAGCATGACTAACCGGCACTTCATCTGAAGACCTCCATCTACTCTAATAGTCCAATCAGCCTTGGGTTCTTTGGAGATCTCCCCCTTTCGGTTTGAATCCAATAATCCTCTAGCTGAGCTACAACCACTCTATTGCTCTAAGATGGATGCACAGATAAGGCTCCTAAGAATGCGTGGCTCCCACCAATCTTCGGCCTAAAATCATAGTGGCTGAGGGTATAAAGGTATCGATATAATGAACATCTCAAAGCTGTAAGTCCACGACGACGTTTCCTACTCAACGCATCTGCTACAACATTCACTTTTCCTAGATGATATTGAAGTGCAAACTCATAATATTTTATAAACTCGACCCATCGTCGCTGCCTCTAGTTGAGTTCTTTCTATGAAAAGAGATATTTTAAGCTCTGGTGATCTGTGATTAATTCAAAGTGTACTCCATACAAATAACGCCTTCATGTCTTTAATGCAAAGACCACTGCTGCTAGCTTCAAGTCATGCGTGGGATAGTTCTGCACATGAGTCCTTAACTACCTCGAAATATAAGCCACAACTCTCTAGGCCTGTATCAGAACACCTCCAAGATCTGATAATGATGCATTAGTGTAGACAACAAAAGTCTTATCACTGTTGGGAATAATCAATACTGGCGTTGTGGTAAATTTAGCCTTTAAAGTCTTAAAGGCTTCTTGGAACTTCGTGCCCCAAACAAATGGTACGCCCTTCTTAGTAAGGTGTGAAAGCAGCATCACGATCTTCAAAAAATCTTGAATAAACCTTCTGTAATAGCCTGCCAGACCTAAGTAGCTACGAATCTCTGTAATGGTCTTCAGCGGCTCCCAATCAAGAACGACCTCTACTTTAGCTGGATCCACTGTAATAATCTCTCGGCTGATAACATATCCCAAAAATCTAACCTCTAACAACAAGAATTCACACTTGTTAAATTTTGCATATACCTAGTGATCCTGTAAAGTCTGTAATGCCAACCGCAAATGCTGCTTGTGCTCGGCCTCCGATCTCGAGTAAATAAGAATATCATCGATGACTACTATAACGAACTGGTCCAAGTATGGACAAAAAAACCGATTCATCAAATTCATGAATACCACAGGTACATTAGTCAGCCCAAATGGTATGATAAGAAACTCAAAAGACCCATATCTAGTCAGAAAGACGGTCTAGGGAATATCCATCTCCCGAACCCGTAACTGATGATAACCAAAATGAATATCTATCTTATAGAAACCTATAGAAACCTATGTTCCCTAACCCTAGTCGAACACATCATCAATCCCCGATAGTAAATACCTATTCTAGATAGTGACCTTATTCAACTCACGATAATCGATGCACAATTGCATACTATCGTCCTTCTTCTTCACAAAAAAGACCGGTGCTCCCCATGGAGAATGACTCTGGCGAATGAATCCCTAAGACAACAACTCATCTAATTAGATCTGGAGCACCCTCATCTCAGTAGACGCCATACAGTAAGGAGCTCAGAAAATCGGTGTGGTGTCAGGCTGTAACTCTATACAAAACTCGACCTCTCTCACTGGAGGTAAACTTGGTATGTCCTGGAAGACATCCTAATACTCGCGAAACCACTCGTGTCTCTCTCAAGTCTACGCCCTAATCCTGCAACATGACATCCTCAATGTATGTCAGAAATGACTCTACAAACTATTTGCCTCTGGAGGTCGCTACCACCAACTCAGATCCATCATAAGCTCGCAAGCTGACCGTCTTTGCAAAACAGTCGATACTCATATGGTAGGAAAATAGCTAATCCATACCAAGGATAACATCAAACTCAAACATATGAAACACGATCAAATTGATCATGAACTCAGAGTCGTCCAAGCTGACGACACATCTCCTACAAACACTCTCTAAAAGAGAAACCTCTCCCAAAGGAGTAGATACAGATAACAGGATATCTAAAGGCTGTACTACAAGCTGAAGACTACTCATAAAATCATAGGAGATGAAAGAATGTGAAGCGCCAGAATCAAAAAGAATACAGGCTGGAAAGGAGTTCACAAAGAACAAACCTTCCACCATGGCCCCACTCACGCCATGATCACGTGGAACAATTGCATAGACTCTGCCGATAGCCGAAGGCTGCTACGCTGCATCGCCTAGAACGTATGGGACTATCTGTCCCTGCTGGACTTCCTGAATAGCTCGCACCTGTCCCTCAATCCTCAGGACTGCTGGCAGTGCCTCAATCCTCAATTGTTGGCCCTGTCCTTAGCCATGAGCATGATTTTTCTGATGCTGGTTCTTATTCTTGCCCTGCTGGCCTGCTGATGGTGCGCTGTGACACTCAGATGCTCGGTGTCCAAATTTGTTGCAATTGTAACAAGTCCCTTAAAACCTACATTGTTGCGCCTTCTGATCCTTCTGAGGTCCCTTCTTATTGGGACCTTGCTGATGTGTACCCTTGCCCTGCTGCTAGGGTCTTCCTGAGACTGTAAAAGGTCTCTTACCTTTACCTTTACCTTTATCCTTGGGCTGTCCTGATTTAAATTTACCTTCTTTGCCCTTAAGGAACATTGATGTCTCTGTCTCTTGGGCCATGGCAGCATCTGCCACCTCTCATACTAAATGAAACCTCCGAGATAACTAGATATCGACAAAAACCTGGGCGAAGCCCCATCATAAACATCTGAGCCTACCACTCCTCTGTGTGCCACATGCCCGTGAATCTAAGTAGCATCATGAATTTACTCTCAAACTCTGCCACGAACATATCCCTCTACTCCAACTGGGTTAACTCTAACTCCTTCCAGCTTTAGCTGCGGCCGAGATATACTGCTCGTCGAAGAAATAAAAAAAGGTCCCCCATGAAACTATCATCCTCTGCTCTCATGTGAATCGGAGTCGATACCATCCTTCTGTATCGCCCTTGAGACTGTAAGCTGCTAGCCTCTGCTTCTGTATAGTATTCACATTAAGCATGTACAGGATATTGCTCACATCTTCTTTCCACTTATGTGCCTCAATGGAATCTGACGATCCATGGAATTCAGGTGCCTTAATCTTCTGGTACCTCTCTACTAGGCGTAACCAAGCCTCCTGCTCAGCAGCTCCATCATCCACTAGTGGGGGTAGGGATGTACCAATCTGTGTCTCCTTCGACGTCTCCTCCTTAATGGGTGTCTCCTCCCGAATGGGTGCCTCCTGCTGAGCCTAATTGCTAACTGCTCCTCAATTGCTACTAGTCGAGCTGCCAAAGATGTTATGAGATCCACTAAGTACTGCGGAGCCTGCTATGGCTCGGGCTCTCTATCATCTTGCTTAGCTCCCTGAGTACGAGTACCTCTGTGTACACAACCTCTTCCCGACATCTATAAGTTTAGGGGTAGAGCTTGTTAAACGTAGTAAATAGGATCTCAGACAAAAAAATAAAACATATATCAATAGGAAAATAGTATCACTTATCATTCACCGCATGCTTTATACTTCAAAAAATATAGATCATCATAAAAAAATTTGGTAATTTTCGCGTATATATATAATACGTCCTCACTCATACTAGGAATTCCTAGCGGACTTTATACATGATTTCTAGAAAACTCTATTCTAGCTCCACAATATGACACAAGAATGATCCTAAGAATATCAGAACTAGAGCTCTGATACTAACTGTGACGCTCCAGGGTTCACACAAAGCTGCAGTCCAAAGTAAAACCCGGATTGTCAAACCTGCCATGCACCAACACCGTGCAACAACATGTTTCACCATCACAGTTACTATCTCTCCAGTAGAATCAAAAAGCAGCTGTAGGTACAATGGAAACTAATAATGAGGTAGTATATGAAAAGAATAATCACAGAGGAAGTATGAGAATAAACACTACGTGAGCCCAAGCGAGATAATATACGAGTATCTTTGAACTGTAACAAATGTATCATGTCTCAAAATAAAGAGTCGAAAGAAATCTCTCTAAGACACTAAGCCTCTACAAAATAAAACACAATTCTAGAGTCTTAAAATAAACAACTATATGTGGAGCTCTAAAATAGCTGCAAATGTAAATAACTAAATGGAATCTAATATGCAATCCCTTCAACCTGTGACTCTCTGTGTGCCGAACTCGCTGCCTGAAAGGGGAAAAACAACAAGTGTCAAAGCTCTAGCAAGATCATCTCAACCGCCCCAAGGGGGAAGGGGTAGGAGTATATAGGAAAATACTGTTAGTACAATATAGATATAAAAGCATTCGTATAGTTCTAAGAGGAGATTAATATTTAGAAACCCATAACACAAGAATTAGTACGTCGAGCAAAATAATCCAAACAAGAAAACCCTCATGTATATATCATGTCAAAAATTATGGATGTCTAAATACCAATTTCCAATCCTATGAATGAAAAAAGTACAAGAAGAAAAATACTCCAAACCTCTACCAACATGAACCAATGTCACATTTCGAACTACACTCGGGTAGTTAGCGCAGTCATAAGGAAATAACAATATCATCCATCTTAAATATTACCATAAGCTATATCATGTATGTCATGTATTCAAAATATACCCCACACTTGAGTAATCTAACATGGGAGTAAACTACGATTATGTGAATATGTCTTTATCACATAACGATACTTTTGTAAGGTTCTCACATTCACATGTGGATTCAACGTCTTTACTCAATCGTTCTATGGCAATAGGTTTTATCTCCCTATTTTAGATATTCTTCCAGATGATCGTACAATGGTGAATAGGCATATAAGCCCAAACCAGAAAAGCACACCGATCATCTTCGAGTATTTGGTACAACTGAGGTCTCATTATGGGAAACATAACCAAATACTCCTAGTGTAGTACAACCGAGGTCTCATTACAGGATAAATAACCACACTGAAGATCCATAACTGATGAGCAATAATTTATCATATGTTCTTTCATTTTCATCAACTCCACGTTTGTCAAATACCTCGACAATGCATGTCAATTCAATATACACTAAGTGTACGTACACATATCTCGGTGTGCGTATCAAAATCTGGTGTTCACTAACACTTCAGGTGTTAAACAACTCATAAATATCTGGTGTTAAATAACTCATAAACATAATAATACCACATAACAAGATCGAAAAATTCTACCAAAATCAGCGATCGGCACACGAACGATCGACCGGCACACGAACAAAACCCTGTTCTGTGCAGGTTTTGATAAATTGTGTTTGTGTGTGTGTTTGTGATTTAAACTGATTAAATTCATCCTGAAACTTGTGTAGAATATTGTAAACAACAGATTTATATCACTGGAAAAAATCAAACATATGAAATATGATTATTTGCCTCATAAATCATAATCAAACTCTTAAACATGCACGAAACGTCAAAGCGAAGATAAAATCACAAATTCTCTGTTAAACCATGTTATTTATTTCTTTCAAATCTTAAAACACTTCTGTAATTTCGTTCTTAACATGAAAATGCCTAGTTTTTACACATATAATACAAAAGATTGCTTTTTATTCACAAACTAGTCAAATCGGCTCTATAAAATACATTTAAATCTCTTTAAAAACTTTTTAAAATAAGGAAGAGGGATAATCAGAGATGAAACTCAACTGAGACTTGTTTTACAATGTGTAAGATGAAGTTCCCAAGCAGATATCCAAGTTGCAAACCGAAAATCCCGCCTTAAAGCCTTTAATCTTTCTCTAAAATCAATTTAGGGTTTGTGGAAAAGTTTACTGGCTGCTAGGGTTTCAAATTTACTAAAAATCTCGTGAACAATGTGAACAAATAGCAGAGAAAATGAATATGGGCCTCAAATACCCGAAACCAACTCAGATCAGGAAAAATAGAAAATAAGTTCCGCGGTCGACCGGACTGGCTGCGGTCGACCGCGGCAGTCGACCGAACTTGAAATTTCCAGTTCCTCAAGATTTTGCCTTTCTGTATGTTTTCGACTCGTTCTATTATCATGTATGAACTTGTTTATACTCAAAATACTTGTTAATATAGTCATGCACTATTTAATGATATTTATCTTAATAAATATCCACTTATAATAATTAATCACATATTAGTTCAATTTATCAATCGTTAATTCATTTCCAGGGTTTTACATTATCCCATCTCACATCATTCCTCTAATATTTTTAATCACTCGATGAATGCTTTAAAATCCGTCGTTATTATATGCACATTAATGATGGTCAATTGGTTCGTTCACTAATTTTAGTCGTTAAATACAAAATTTCTTGTAGTCATATTTCTTTTTATCTTTGTTCCCAACTTGCTCTTTCTTCCATGCCCAACAATTCTTCTTGATATGACCCGGTTTCCCATAATGAAACAACCTCTCCTTTTAGACTTTGATTTTCCCTTGGATGCACCACAACCTCTTAACTGGTCCCTATACCTATCCTACCCCTGTTCTCTATGATAAGTGCATGTGAGTTATCAGTGCTTGTAGACTTTCTCCGAGTCTCTTCATTGAATAAACTACTAGAAGAAATTACGTCTTTAATGATGGGATTTCTCTTTATTAAAGAGCTTAAAACCTTCGTTATTATATGGCAATGATAGGAAAAAATCCCTTCATCACCCGTCGTAGAAGCCTCCTTCGTTAAACTATCATAAAGGTTATAATACCCATCATTATAGAGTCTACAACGACAAAACATATTACTGTCATTCACATCTGCGACGATAATTATCACCGTCGAGCAGCCTTTGGTGCCGGGGTGGAATCGACTGCCATGATCTCTTTTCCCCTCGACCGAGGAGGATTCTTTGGCGCGGCTGGCTCTGCTGCTCCCTTCTTGGACTGCGGCTCCTCGGCCTCCAGCCTCTTGATCATGTTTTCGACTTGCTCGCCCTGGCGAACAAGCTCCTTCCATGTCCGGGTCTCTACTGCGCCTATTTTGGACAAAATATGGATCGACAGGTTGTTGCGGCACATCTCAATCAGTGTCGACTCGGAAACTTGGTCCCGACAGTGGACTGATCGATTCCGAAATCTCTTCACGTAGTAATTGACCGACTCCGACTTCCGTTGCTTCTCAGCAAGGAGAGTGGCCATTGACACTTCCGTGTCGTCGTTGAAGAAGCAGGCGAGGAAGAGTTTTTCAACGTCGGCCCATGCCTTGATAGAGCCGGGCTCCAGTTTACGGAACCATTCAAAGGCCACCCCCTTGAGGGTACTTATGAATAGTCGAGTGAGAATGACGTCATTCCCCGTAAGGAATCCAGTCTGCGCCATGAAGTAGTAGATGTGCTGCGAGGGCAATCCCTTTCCGTCAATCTGTACCAAGCTGATGGGTTTGAACTTCGCCGGGTATGGGACCGTGTCCCATTCGATAGGGTAGGGACGTACCACCCCCAGCTTGTTCATGTTTTGCTGAAGCTTCAGCGCGTTGAGCTGGTCCTGGAACTCGTCGAATCTCTTGTCACGGACGCTACCGGTATGCGACGTCCCCAGCGACGTCTTGGAAGAGTAATCGGATTGCTGATTACTGTTGTTATCCGTTTCAATTGCCGGGTGACGGGGAGGTATCCACTCTTTGTCCCTAGTTTGCCGAGGTAAGGGACGTTGGGTTCTCTTCTTCTTC